AAAGTCATATGTGTGTCAGAAATGCCGGGATTCCGTGTGAATAGGTATGTTGACAGGTCAACGGGTCCCGGGGGGCGAGTAAAGAGGGCAAAGAAGGGGCAACGGCCAGTGCCCTGGTGCCTACCTCCTCGTAGCCGGGCGCCCCGGCATCCAGGTCGTCATTCAGGCACACGAATTTGCGCGGAGAGAAGGACAGCGAGTCCAGGGACTCGCGGAGTTTATCCAGGTTGTTGTTGACCATGTAGAAAAAGACGTCCTTCTCCGGTGCGGACTCATGCCTGTTCCCGGCCGCGGGCCGGAGCAGGCGAGGACCGCGATTTGGCCGAGGGCGAGGGGGTGAGTCATGATTGGTCCGAGTCGCACAAAGGCAGGCAGGCAGGCAGGCAGGCAGGCAGGCAGGCAGGCAGGGACCGCGGCCAGGGGAACGCACTTGTACTTGCGGGTCTTGCCGATGGACTTGGCCAGGCGCTCGCGAAAGGCCGGGCAGTCCGGGAGCGCAGCCACCGGAACCGGCGGCCACGCCAGGGCCTCCGGCGGGCTTCTCCAGAAGTAGGCCAGAGCATTTGGCGCCTCATGGGGCCGGGGCCCGGCCATGGCCAAAAGTTGCTCCCGGCTCAGGGACTGCGAGTCACCGGGAGGCGCGGCAAGGAAGGCCAGCCGATCGCCGGGGTCCTCGCCCGGGCTGCTGGCCGAGCATTGGTGCAACATGGCCACCAGAGGCCGGATGTCGCGGTCGGCCGCGGCCGACGGGGCCAGGATCTGCAAAATCCGGTACATATCATCAACAGTGAGGAAGCTGCAGCGGCCCGCGCGTGGGGCCAGCCACAATCCCATGAAGGGGAGGGGGGGAGGGGAGGGGGGTCGGCCAGGGGGGCGAAAGTCAGCGCACTGGCCCGGATTCGGACCGTTGCCGCAGAGGGGAGGGGCGGTGGGGCCATCGAGCACGGATACACAACGCACCGGTGGCCCGAGGCGGCGATCTGGCGGATCAGCTCGTCGGCCACCTCCTTCGGTGGACGGGTGTGCTCCATCAGGAAGTAGAAGTAGGCGAAGGCAAACTGCATGTCCTTCGCGTGGCGGAGCTGGTGCGAGGAGGTCTGGTCGAACTCGTCGCGAAAGCTGCGCCCCCCTCCCAAAAAGGGCGAGTCCCGCAACCCAGGAAGAGGGAGGAAGAGACACAGTGGGGGGAAGGGAGATAGGGGGAGGGAAGCCACAGCGTCAGTTGGCGCAGATACACACACACACACACACCAAGGGGGAGGGAAGGAGCGACAGGGAGGGCGGGGGAAGGGGAGGGCCAAGCCCCGGCAGGACCACGGGCAGGCCAGGGCGGCGGGGCGGGCGGGTGGGTGGGTGTGCTCACGCACACGGTCTGCAGATCGGCCATCACACGCCGATCGATCAGGTGCGGCATGTGCGCCACGGCCCGGCGGATCTTGGGCCCATACACCTGCGACAGGCGGACATTGACGAAGGCCAGCGAGTCGCCGAAGGCGTCACGCGTGCGATACCCCTCGGCCAGGGGCGCCGGCGCCGGGCTCGGGTGTCCCTTCAGGCAGTCGCCCGCGTCGAAGTTGCACCGGGCCACATTGCACTGCGGCTGGCAGGTCCCATCGCCGAGCCACAGATGCGGGCAGCCGCTTGCACAGTTGGGAATCGGCCAGGTGAGGAAGACCCGCTGGCCGCGCGACTCGGTCAGGAAGTCATCCGGGAAGACCTCATCGCCAAAGTGCACGTCGTCATTGAGGTAGAGGAAGTGCTCCGAAAGCCCTGGGATCCGGTGGAGGTTGGCCTCGATGGCGGGGGAGCTGCACGATCGTGTGTGTGTGTGTGTGTGTGTGTGTGTTATGGAGGCCCATGGCCATGGCCGCAAGGAATGTTAATCCGCAGGTCGAGGGATCCCGGGCGCCGGTGGATCGGCGCCGCCGCCGCCGCCGCCGCCGCCGCCGCCGCCGCAGGCGGGACATCATCGCGCACCTGAATGTCGGCAGGTGCTCCGGGCTGCGGAAGATCTCCTCGTGCGTGACCACTCGCAGCCGGGGATTTGTGGTGTCGAGCCAGTGAGGGACCTGGCCGTTGGTCACCAAACGCACCGTGCGTACCCAGGGCGCAAAGCGCTCGATCGAGCGCAGGGAGAAGCGCAGCTCCTCGTGGTCGGTGAAGCGGTTCCCGTCCTCCTTTTGCTCCTCTACACAAGAGGAGGACACATGCCCATGCATTTCGAGTGAGAAGGGGCTGACAAGCGAAATGCAAGGGACAGGCAGAGGAGGGAGGGGAGGGAGCGGTGGCGGCGGCGGCGGGTAGTGGTCAATGTCGCACCCTGTTCGGTGGCTCCCAGCAGGAGGGCGCGTGTTTCCCGAAGGGATTGCCGATGCGCCGGGTCGCTGCCATTCACCCAGGTGTACACCACATCGATGACTGGCAAGCCCGCCTCCTCGGAGGGGGAGGCCGGCACCTGCGATGTCACCGAGCCGGTGCTGGTGAAAGAGCATCGAAAGAAGAGGGCGCCTGTGGCGCGATGTGCGGCGGGGCGCAATAATGGCCCCTTTCGCGGGTGAGTGGACGTGCCTCGGCACCGGGCGGCGGGGAAAGGCGGACGGGGTATCTGCGCATGCCCATGCGAGGGAACAAGGGATGGGGGAGAGAGAGAGAGAGGGAGAGAGAGAGGGAGGGAGGAGGGGAGGAGGAGCGGGAGGGGAGACGAGGAAAGGAGGAGACCTCGCCTTTTCAGCGGCGCACCACTCAGCAGCACCAGGGCGAAGATGGCCACCAGGCTGGCGGGCCCGGTCGCCAGGCGTGAAAGGCGCACTCGGGGCGACCAGGCCGCCGAAGGCGACGGAGCCCCCCCCGCGGAGGGATGGCGCCTCCCAGGGAACATCGGAAGGCAGCAGGCCGCGAGCGGTCCAAGGTGGCACCACAGCACGCGACGGAGGAAAGAGGGCGGCGAGAGGGGAAGCAGGGGGAGGGAAAGAGAGAAGTGGGGATGAAGAGACCGGAGGCCAGTGGCGGGGCGAAGCGGGGGAGGGAGGAGGGCCGGGATGCCGGGCCGCCACCCGGGTCCAACGACGGCCAGGCACTGGAAGTATACCTCCCCGTTTGTCCGGCCGTGATTGTGTGCTTGGCCCCGGGCGGTGGATGCTCTCCGGGGCTCACGGACGGCACCCGTCGACATTGTGGGTTGGCATTTGACCCGGGCCCTGCCCGATCGCCCGGGTCCCGATCGCGCATCTCCGGCCGGCCTGGGGCGTGGCGCCGGGCCGCCATCCTTGGCCCCGCGCACCGCTGGCCGGGCCCCTCTCTCTCTCTGCCTGTCTCTCTCTCTCTCTCCCTGTCTCTCTCTCTCTCTCTCTCTCTCTCTCTC